AAAACTCCTGATTTCTATTGGATCTTAGCTATTGGCTTGTTTATCATTTTGTGAAGAAAAATATTTGTGAATCGTTTTCCGTTGAACGAAAGGAATTAAAAATGATACTCCTTCAATTAAAACACCGGCATTAAGCTTGTCTTCTTTCTTTGAAATTGCTTTGAATCTTCTTGTATGGTTACATATGAAAAAGTGTTGATGAGTATGATTCACTATATTGGTAATCATATTATATTACCATAAAACATAAAAGTTAGCTGTGACATCATATGAATATTGTACGACTTGCAAATAAAACATTATAGTAGAATCAAAGCAACTTTCTATTCAAATTTTATAATAATTTATTAAGAAATTGTTTTATTCTGCGATAGGACATAAAGTGTTCTTCTAATGTACACTCTCGCTTAATTAGTAACGTTAAAGATAATTGCTAAAAAGAAGAGAAACAATACATGCTTAGTATTTTAAAAAATATACTTTATTGATGTTGATTCAGCGAAAGACGAAGGTGCAACAAATAAACTATTTTGAATTCATTCGAAATAAATATAAGTGGCAAGCTTGAAACTTGAATTCAATTGAGTCTTCAAGTTTCAAGTTTGATATAGTATATGGAATAATGAGGGTATAAAAAATTCTCTCATTTATTAATAAAATATTGAAACTCAATATTTTTTCCATTTTAAAGCTGAGTTTTTATGTAACTATTCAAGAAAGACTATGCACACGTTGAACTATACTTTATTCTTATTTTGTAATTTTTATTGCAAGAAATGCAGAATACAACAGAAAATTGACTATGTTTGTTTCTTTTTTGTGATCATTTTGCAAATGACGAAACTAATTGAATTAAATAGAATCTATTGATTTATACAAGATCACATAAATATTCTCTGTTAGTGTGACTACATAATTGCACACTGACAGTAATGAGCGAGAAATCGGAATGTTTCTTTTTCTACATTCCTTGATTTCACTCAAACAAACAAAAAGTAACTTTAATAACATAATTTTAATGATTGATATATTTTAAAATGAAGAAAAACGATATTTATCTGAATATGGACAGATAGAAAAGCTTTTCTTTTAAACTTAACATCGTTGATAACTTCATTGAACGAGGACAATATTAGCAGAAAAAGTCTATTCACTATCTTAAAAACAGGACAACATTCAATATCATAGTGCAAACTGTTTTGACATCAGAATCCATGGGGAAAATCGCTAGAAAAATAACATTTTTATTGGTAAAATTAATCTATAAATTCGAATTCAATCATCTCATTTTAATGAAATATGATCTCTAAAATTCAGTTTGCATTTGATTTTATTAGCTTCTCAATCATCTTTGTTTGTCTGAAACTACTAGTACATTCTATCTCAGTGAAATTTTCTGCTGCAATTCTTAGAATTATGTAAAATATTTTAGTCTTTTCTGGAACTTTTTACAAATACAGTAACCCGATATTTTAACATTGATTAGTCCTGACCTATGTAAAATTAAATGTTTAGCTTTTTATTTGTTAGAAAATGAATTTTGACTATCTATATATCAGAGAAGCTTGGGATTTTTTTTCATAGTATATCATGAAATCTTGCTATATTCTCTCGAGAGTGTGGGTGTGGGTGAAGATGTCTTCTCCGACACCCACACTCACACCCGCGCAAAATTTCAAAGATAAGTTCCTACTTAATCGTCCAACTGCAACTGTCAAAAATCCCGAAAGAATGAGCAAAATGTTTTAAATAAAAATTTCAGTAAAGTTTCAACTACTTCACGAAATTCTCTGTAAAATTCTGCATATGTGGATGGATGTTTTAGATTTTTAAAAGGAATATTTGACAGAAACAGTTTTTAGAGAAAAAAAATGGAAAATTACTAAAAAAAAAGCCCTTTTTTTTGTAAACCACGCATCGTTTAATTTAAAACTTATACCATTTTGTTCAGAATTCAACTTTAAATCTGATGGCAAAATAATAAATATCTTATAGAGCGTGTCTGACTTTTGAAAATATGGTTTTTCCAAGGTGCACTGGAAAATATTGACAGGTATTAGTTCCTCTTTATGTTCAATAATTTATACTTTAATCATTGCTCTTCATGAGCAAAAGCTTGCACAAATTAATAATTTTGCGTCAACAAGAAAAACTTTCATTGAAAAACAAAATCAATAGTTTTGTAGAGCTTGAAATTCTTTGTCTGTTCATAGATAAAGAAATTTTCAATTTGTCCCAGAAATAGAAAAAAAATGCATTAACATTTTATCCAATTTATCATGCTCAACCTGTTAGTGAGTGAATATTTTTTTTGCCTATAAACAGTTCATCCTAGCAGAGGTTAAGCAAAGAGCAACATATGTTAAACAATGATTAATAATGGTTATAGCAGTTAATCAAACATTTATTTGTTTATTTTCATAAAATATATCGTGTCGGTATTTATTTAAAAACAATCTATAGTTGGAATAAGAGTGATAGTAGCAATGTTTGTATAATCTTGTTCTTGTTTTTATACATATGTAGCGTACATCTCTATGAAAATGATTTTCCTTTTTTCAGAATATTCAAATATTCTCTATTTCTTGTTTTGAAATTTGATATGAGTCAAAAATTAATTTAGAAAATTCAATTTCTATTAATAGCTCATTTGAAATCGAGATAAACCAATAAGGACATAGTGTTTTTACCAACGAGTGCAATGATCTTAGGATGTAATGAATCAAATGAAGAAAATTCAATTCTATTATTATCGTCAACTTTATTGTAGTACCATTCTTTATCTCTTCCATTATTTTGAACAACTCAGAAAACTGCAGCAATACGATTGACCAAGATGTTGAGCTCTTCGTTTCGTTAATGAAAAGAAAATAGTCAAAGAAAGATATAATTAAGATATTTCTTTTATTTATACTGATACTATTCGCAATACATGATATTATTTGATATTCTCTTAGTTAATTTGTAAGAAAATAACTGGCGATTCCTTTAAATTTGATGTTTTATCAAGTTTTTCCTATTTGAATTGTACCAATAGTAGAATAATTAATGTATCATTTATGCATAAATGAGCTATACACAAGATTGATAAGTATCTTACAGAAAGTCTTATGAAAAAAGATAAAAGAAATATATATATAAACGATAGTACGTGTTTCATTCTGTTGTATTGCATCTTATTACAAAGCAATGAAGACGAAATTTGGTAGTTTTCGAAATAAATATAAACTAATCTTTTTGAACTCAAAAATAAATTGTCATGAAACGATAACAGAGAACAAAGTGAATATTGTGCGCTTTAGATCTAACAAAAAAATGTTTTTAATCATACACATTATCTTAATGAGTTAAAATAAAAAGAGAGAGTGTGGGTGTGGGTGGTGGCTGGGTGTGGGTGTGGGGTGTAGACCCCATCGGGTCCAAGATTTTTGGACCCGAACCTGGACCCGTTTACAATTTTCTACACTCGTACCCGGACCCGTTTACAATTTGCTACACTCGTACCCGGACTCGGACCCGCTTGTTTAAAAAAGGTTGGACACGCATCCAACCCGGACCCGCTTGTTTAAAAAATGTTGGATCCGGATCCGACCTGGATCCGGATCCGACCTGGATCCGGTCGCTTAAATTTTCTGGATCCAAGCACGATGATAAATCAGTTTCGATAATATATTCAAAAGGTCTTTTGTTACTTTTTTGTATATTTTCTAAATACGTTCAATTTTTTTCTTCATGAAACAAACAAAACTTTGAAAAAATTCACAATACATTGTATGCATCAAAGTTTTCTTCAGATCTGGACTCGACCCGGACCCGGTCACAAAAACATTTCAGACCCAGAACCCGACCCGGACCCGGCCAAAATGAAACTTTTAGACCCGAACCCGGACCCAGACCCGAGCGGATCCGGGTCGGGTACGGGTCTGGGTCCTACCCGACGAGCTCTAGTGGGGTGTGGGTGTGCGGGTGTAAGTGTATGTGGGGGTGTGGGTGTGCGGGTGTAAGTGTATGTG